GAATATGTCATTCTAGCTCCGAAATATTGCTTTGGTACCTACAAAGAGTTGCACTGCACATTCACAAATGTTGAACATGATGGTTGCAAACTTTGTTCGCCGCAATCCTATTTTGTTGGGCCAATGCCCGGGCCAGCGGTCACCACATCGGCATGGCCATTTTGTGCCGCCAAATCTCCATAGTGACCCATTTGAAAGGCTATGAAAAGGGGTGTAGCTCCATCAGTCGTCTGAGCATCCAGTTTAGCCTTCGATTCCACTAGGACTGAGACAACTTCGGAATGCCCGTTGTGGGCGGCAACGTACATTGGAGTTGCATCGGTGTTCAATGCCTTGTCCACTTCGGCTTTGTACTGAAGCAGAAACTTGGCTGCAGCAGGGTAGCCATTTTGCGCAGCGATGGAGAGTGGGGTGGCACCGTTGATGTCCTCAGCGCGCTTGGGGCTCAAAGACATGTTCACCAATGCCCAGCAGCTGCGCAACCCCTCTGAAAAATTACCTCCTTGGTTTATCAATCTGACTTGGACTTTGAACCCAACCGAACCCAATGGCATGAAATTCCAAACCGGCTAAGACATGTTTAAGAGCTTGAGTTGAAACTTGTCAGTGACAGGGATGTCTTTAGTTATAAATAAATATCGTTCATATGGTAAGGCCAGGATCTTTGACCAAAAAAGCCAAGGATCAAAAGTCGAAGTCCATAACAGTCAAGTGGAAAAGTCTTTTTTAAAAAGAAAATAAAACATGTCAAAAATAGATCATAACTCGAACAAGTCAAAAACGAGTCAAATAGAATGCAAAAAACAGCAATTGGATAACAACAAAAGTCGAAAAGAAGTCACAAAAACGTCAACATAAACGGCAAAATTATGTAGCAACTCGAAAACAAAAACAAATCAACTAAAAGTCAAACACAAGTCAACATTAAAAAACAACTCGAACACGTAAAAACAAAAAACAACTATATAAATAGTCGGGAAAACATGAAAAACATAGGCAAACACAAGTCAAACAAAGGTCGGATCTGGGCCAATTGACTTGCGTTTTAAACATGTTTTGACTTTCTGGAACTTTCTGATTTAACTTCTCTTTACTAATTACTATGTTGACTCTTGTAAGTCTTGAAAACAGGCTCCAATGAAAGATGTTTATATGTCTTTAGGAAAATAGGATTGTTTCAGTGTTCCAGACAAATCATGTAGGTCCTTTGTGTACACATACTCATAATACTCATGGAACCCACCACCTGACACGCGGTCTTCGGACCATCAAAGTCATCCCAACTCGGGGCCCATGCTTTCCACGTAACCAAAGGGAAACTGGACAGGGAGGGCTCAATGGACATGGATGGAGTGATCAATGGATCAATGGATCAAGTGATCAATGGGACGTAATATGATTGTTTCAGGGAGTGATCAATGGATCAAGATGCCCCACACCAACGCTCCTGGACATCTGTGGAGGGCTTGGACACGTGTTTATTTGGAGCGGACCCTGGGCATGGTACATTCACACAGCATCCGTTTTCGGGGTGTGGCTGGACTACCAAACAGGGCACCCCGAAAACGGAGGGGTCCCGGCCCAGGGGGTTCGATGTGCGCACGGTGAATGCACGGTTCGCACCGGTTTGGTCTGCTTCCCTGAAGGCAAGGTCACCAAGTATAGATCTGGGGTATAGACTTGGGTACATGTTCCACATTGTCCACAGTGTTTCGAAACAAGCATGTCTTGACAGCAACATGTGCCAGGGTCTGACCATGTCAGTTCTTGTTGTCGTTCTTGTCTTGGCGTCTTTGGCTAGTACTTCTTGTCTGGATCCAGCGTAAGAAACAACAATTGGTGACCACACACACCATGTGCAACTATAACAAGAACATATACTTAGGAAGACCAGTATAACAATAAGAAATATAGATAATATAGTTAGGAAGACAAGGAAAAACACTTCGATAGAATCTGTTCTATAATATCTTAAAGCTTGTCAGCAGGAGGATTTCCATGTCCAACACGCCCAACTAGCTGTGTCGCGTGTCTGGCTTGTTGAAGTCGGCACATCCCATTTCCAAGATCTCCAGCTTTGGCAGGTCACCGTTCCAACTGGCCTTCAAGGCTGCAGTTTCGCCTCGATCATCTGTCACATTCGGATCTTGAAAGTTTTCCAAGTGACCTGAGGATGGTATGGCTGAGGGTATTGGACGCGGGGTCGGTGCTACACGCGATGGTATTGGCTCGGTTTCAACACACACGGATCGGGGTCGGTGGTACATGCCGGAGCATGCAAGTAGATGCGTAAAAGCTGTGATGCAAAATCCACAGGCGATGGCTATGTGCCCTTCGCGCGCTAGAACGCTTGGAATTCGATTGCAGTGAAACTGTCACATGCAGTGGACTGTGCATATATTTAAGGAAATTCTTGTACTTTCTAGCAAATCACCCGCATCCTGAAAACATTGTGTTTCTTTTTGTTTGACATTGATCTTCATACCCTATCTTTCGCCGTCCAAAACCTGTCTGGAACGAATTTGGCAGAGCCCAGCGTGCGAAAACCGGCGACCGAGTCACCAATATTGCCATTCCTGGAGAATCCTGGAGATATGCGGCGATGCGAAACATGTGCCGGAAAGCAAGACGAGGCTTCCTCTTTTGACTCAGAACAACTCTTCGAACACCCAGTATCCCGGCCATATTTAGAGAAAAAACACTGTGCACAAATGGTAGGAAATTGGCCTAGATAATTAGCAAGCTTTCCGGCTTTCCTCGCTGGAGTGGGCTCTTCATTTCCTCCGTCGACTTCCTACACTTGGCGGACTTGGCAGCTCATGAGCTGTTGGAAGCACCGGAGACGATGACAACACATTCGTCTAAACTGGTGAGCCCGACCCATTTCCCTCGTCTCAAGGCCTCAAAGGCTGATTGGAAACCATTGGATCCACTGTCTGCATGAGGAGCAATCAAAGTACATGTAAGTTTTTGTTTGAACGAATTCTTTCTGTTGATTCATGGCATGCACTTGTTCTTGATCACTGGAAAGGTATAATAGTCACTCTAAGTGGCCCAAACACTGTGAAATATCCGTCCTGTTCTCGCAAACAGCCACTGACATGGCAGGGAACATGACACATGACTGCAAACAGCAGGGGGTAGATTTAAGCGTTTTAGATGGCCTTCCGGTCACTGATCGTCCGACAATCCCGAACGTCCAGTCCTTGTTGGCGCCATCCCTCCTGGGCTTCAAGATCTGTGGTCTTGGTGCTTCCGACGGCAGCCTTGGAAGGTGATATGGATGCCGCATCAGCAACGACCGGGAACGCTTGGTAGGTCTTTTTAAAGTATGTTTGTTTGATAATGTTTAGTAATATTCACTTGCTGGAGGGCCTGGAGGGTTCTAGAAACAGGATTTCCAAGCTGGTCCAAGAAAATCGACAATGCCCCCACATATGCAGGGCTGTTACATATGCATGGCACGGCTGTTCAAAAAAACAGTTCGCCTGAAACTTGCGGTGAACATCGATGTTCAAATGGTACTGTGAACTTCCTTCGACAGCTTCAGCAGTGAACAAAGGCGGTGAAAGAAGCGAGTGCCAGGAAAGCATCAACGTGTTCCAAATTGCTCGTTGAGAACTTGGAGATCCCAACTTGATTCACAGAGATGCATCATTCCATGAATCCTGAGAAGGGAACCTCAAACCTCTTAAGAAAGCGCTGGTCCGCATGAGGACGTGGCAAGGAGTTCGGGTGAAATGCCAGGTTGCACAGGGCTACAGCCTACTAACCAAATGGATACAGCATGATGCAGCAAGGAGTTGCCAGCAATTGATCATGATTAATCATTCTATCATTAAGTTGCGCGCTATCGTGCTACTCCCTTGTGCCTGCCACCAGTTTCCAGAAAGAAGGCGCACAAGTTAAACATCATACTATGTTGGCCAAAACCCCGTAGCTTGTGAATATCTTGCAAACAAGTTTGTCAATGGCCAACACTGCCAACACCTGAACTTCGTGTATGTTCTCCCCGATCTACCTGCACCATTTGATGTGCCGAGCCACGATTGGGCCAGCGAGATCTGTGATGACTGCCGCCCATCCATGCTTGGACGTCTTACCATAGCATCCATGTTGGGCTAGAGTGTCAGCAGCATCCCTGAGAGCAATGGTCCACAGCCCAGAACCATGATAAATAGCTTGTATTCTCCATCCCCAAATGGATGGGCTATTCATATGGATCTTTAAGTGGATCCCAAACTTCAAATACCAACTGGTTAGTTCACCATGTCTGACATCGACTTATAGAGATGCTGCTGGAGCCAGAGGAGGCCTGATGCAAAGAACTCACACCCGATAAATTCCAGTGTCTTTGTTGCCATGAAAGTTCGCTCTAAACATTCCAAACATGTTCGGCCTGAACTTGGACACATATCACTCAATGTTACCCAACTTTGGTCACAAAACGGATCTGATTCCTCACAAGACCATGCACAGAAAGTGGTTGCAAAGAAATTAACATAAGCACACATAATAACATCACATAACCTTGTATTTGTCTCACAGCAAGGAATCAGACTGACATCCAAGTTTGAAAGTAACCAGTGAAAGTACTAAAGGATCATAATGCCGGGCGGCTGCTTCATCAGTTTCCACCTGAGGGCCCAGGCGGCGCTCAAAACTTCGGCTCCAAGGGGCCGGCCAAATTCAGTAAACCAATGTGATGTTCTGGGACTGAGTTTCGAAGATAGATTGTATCAGCACTTAAGGACTTCGGTCCCTTGTACTTGTAATTAACGCTCGAATTAGGAAAAACCTTCCAATCTCCATCCAAAAACGATACACATGTGCAACTTTTTGTCGATCCTTTGGAAGCCATCCTCATGAGGGTTGGTGGCTGCAAGCCTTAATTCTGACCGACTTTGCGGCCTAAAACCAAAACGTATAGTAACAAGAAGCTACTAGGAACAAGTGCATCGCATTTCAACTTCCATCAAGCCTGGGGCCTACGTCGACCTTCAAGGAAAGTACCTGTATTCTTCACCTGCTGACGTCCAGGTGGTCGCACCTCTTTTGTTGATGAGCCTCAATGCACCATCTGCGTCCAAGATGAGCTTGTTCATGCCACTCAACTTCTTGAGGGATGGGTCCTCGGTGTTTGTTGCCCATGGCCTGGAGTTGGTCTCGGTCTTGTCACAAATCAACACTAGGTTGCCATCTTCCTGTAGTGTGAGGTGTGCTTCACTGGTTGTGCTGCAACTGCTACCAGCGCTCCAAACGGTGGTGGTTTGCTGCCACTGTTTCACCACAGGTTGTCCATCTTCGATGAGGAATTCAAATGATTTGTCTGTTCCATAGAAGTTCCGCACCAAGCGCTGTCCCATTGCGAGACTGTCAGGGTTTGTCAACTGGAATGGCCCAAATCCAATCGGAATCGACCCCAAGGAAGACCAAACACCAACCTGGTTGCCAACGTTGTACATGGCTAATTGGCCATCATTCTGCATAGCCAAAACTCGGCAAATGCTGCTTGACGCAACTGTTTTGGAGGCCCACAAGGGAGCGTCGCCACAGTAGAGCACCAAGTTGCCATCATTGGTTTGAAGCCGAAGTTGCAGTGTGGATGGATCAGAGCAGTCGTTTGGTGCCACATCTTTCGAGGCCCATATGGGACGTTGCGAGCTGTCATAAACCACTAAGTTGGCATCTTCCTGGACGCGGAAGGTGTAGGTGCCGTCGGCAGACTGTAAGACGTCGTTTGCATAGAGTATCTCACCTGACGTCATGGTGTCGCTATTGAAACTGGAAGGATTGCTGGTGGATGAGACTGGCAGCCCGATGAAGCGGTACATTGGTTCAACGTGAATCACCCGAGATGATCCAATGATCGAAGCTCCCACAAGCCTATAGCTCTGATCGCCAGTGACAGTGCCATCTGAGCTGACAGAGCACGATCCGCTGCCAAAGCTTGATTCGGAACCATCGGAGAGGGTCATTTTCATGTGGGTCATCTGATAGTCATCGAAGCACATCTTTGAAATTCCTTGAACATACCTGGGCGGCAAGAAGATCAAAAGGAACGGCCATCACGTTGGAAAGTGCAACACAAGCTACAAAACAAACAGGAACGACTACAGTTTGTACTTATCAAACATACACATGTATCGCGGAATCCCCGCCGATCACCGAAGCAAACTTGGTGCTTGTTGGAAAGGTCAATCTCTCTGGCATCTCCACCAGAACCACCCTGAGCACATTCCTGGCCATCCTCATAGTTGATCTGGATCTTGTCGACAAAAGAGCCTGAACGAACTGTTATCTTAGTGATGTCGCCAGGTCCACAAACTGTCGGACGTGTCGAAGCAATCTCGGAATTTCGGACTCGGTAGGTCACATAGTCGATGAATTGTGTGTAAGGCGCGAATGGTCCCAGGGTGACATATTCAATGGCCGGGATCACCTGGATCTCAGCACTTTCCATGCCAGGGATGTAGCGTTGCAATTGCATCACGTTTTGCAAGGCCGTAACGATCTCGCGCGCATACTCTCTGACTGTCCGATTGTATTGCCATTGAGTAACTACTTCGCAATAATCCTTGTTCCAATCGTTCACTTCCACCTGGTAGCTGTTGCCAGTGTGGCTATCGCTGAGCTTGGCTTTGCACTGCCTTCTCCGATGGGATTGGCCAGTGGTCGTTCCATCATAGTAAGTTGTAAGTTGTTCTCGACGCCACTGGTACCACTCATCATAGGCGTAGTTGAAATAGGTCTGATAGTACGCCACCGCACCTTGAAGCGCAGCTTTCCATGCTGGGTCGTAGTTGCCATAGAGTTCCATTCCGACATCGACTCTCAGGCGCAGAATGATACAGTGAAGGGTGGCCTTAGCGTCACAGAAAAAATATCTGAGAAAATACAATAGGAAAAAACCCACTGAAATTTTACGATGCACTATAGACCAATGTCAGCGAACAATGTTTTTCATGGGGCCTCCCATCTGGGGCCCTGGGGTGGATGGGCCCCCAGAAGAATCTTTTTATTATTCAGGGGTGTAGGACCTACACCTGGCCAAAAACTATTCCATATGTGAACAGTTCTCAGGAATAATTCGCGGCAACTTCCAACATGCAGTCTATATGGCATCCTGACGGAGGCAGTTTCTTTTTATGGCAAACATGTAGTAAAGGCAAGGCCTGCACACCACAAGCTTTACTAGTACTTGCGCTGCTAGAACTAACCCAAAGATACCAACCCCTCACCAGAAGCCTTACTAGTTTTTGCACTCCTGTAAACAATCTCCATAACCACCAGAAATTATTCCAGGGGTGGTTCAGTTCTGGTAGGGGTCTAGAAAAATATCACCTCCCCTGTTTGCCTCTATACCTAACCCTGCCTGGCACTATGCCTCACCAAAAACCCATCACAAAACCCTTAAACCTCAAGCTTTCCCAACCCATACCAGAAGACATAATTACTAGTAATTTTCATTCTGCTCCCTATTTCCCGCACAAGATAAAACTATTCCAGGGGTGGTTCTGTTCTGGTGGGGGCCTGGCATAATATCACCTGCCCTGGCCCTGTCTGTTGCTGGAAAGAAGAAACAAACCCAAAACATCCAACCTGACCAAGCTTTCCAACCCTAGTTACTAGTATTTGTGTTCGTAGGCTCCTAAGACTAACCCAAAATCCCAACCGGGGAGCTCCGAGCTTTCCAACCCATCTACAAGGCTACGAGTTCACCGCTTCCACTTTTCATACGTCTCAGCTCTTTTATCATTTCCTGCTTGTCATCTGCTTTTCCGTACTGGGCTACCCCCTGTGTTTAATGGCCATGCACTCAAGAACCTCACCCCACTACACATGCTTTCCAGAAAGCCTCTAAGGGTGATTCATAGAAACCAATAGACATATGAGGGAGGCAATTTTTTTAATGGCATGTAGTAAAGGCAAGGCCTGCGCACCACAAGCTTTACTAGTACTCGTGCTGCTAGAAGCTAGAACCAGCCCAAAGATACCAACCCCTCACCAGAAGCCTTACTAGTTTTTGCCCTCCTGTACAATCTCCATAACCACCAGAAATTATTCCAGGGGTGGTTCACTTCTATACCTAACCCAAACCTCAAGCTTTCCCAACCCATACCAGAAGACTTAATTACTAGTAATTTGCATTCTGCTCCCTATTTCCTGCGCAGGATAAAACTATTCCAGGGGTGGTTCTGTTCTGGTGGGGGCCTGGCATAATATCACCTGCCCTGTCTGTTGCTGGAAAGAAGAAACAAACCCAAAACATCCAACCTTACCAAGCTTTCCAACCCTAGTTACTAGTATTTGTGCTCCTAGGCACCTAAGACTAACCCAAATCACCGACCGGGGAGCTCTGAGCTTTCCAACCCATCTACCAGGCTACGAGTTCACCGCTTCCACTTTTCATACGTCTCAGCTCTTTTATCCTTTCCTGCTTGTCAGCTGCATTTCCGTACTGAGCTACCCCCTGTGTTTGATGGCCATGCACTCAAGCACCTCACCCCACTACACATGGTTTCCAGAAAACCTCTAAGGGTGATTCATAGAAACCAATAGACACATGAGGGAGGCCATTTCTGTTTTATTGCAAACATGTAGTAAAGGCAAGGCCTGCGCACCACAAGCTTTACTAGTACTCGCGCTGTTAGAACTAACCCAAAGATACCCCCTGTTTGCCTCTATACCTAACCCAAACCTCAAGCTTTGTCCACCCATTCCAGAAGACTTAATTACTAGTAATTTGCATTCTGCTCCCTATTTCCTGCGCAAGATAAAACTATTCCAGGGGTGGTTCTGTTCTGGTGCCTGGCATGATATCACCTGCCCTGTCTGTTGCTGGAAAGAAGAAACAAACCCAAAACATCCAACCTGACCAAGCTTTCCAACCCTAGTTACTAGTATTTGTGCTCCTAGGCTCCTAAGACTAACCCAAAATACCAACCCGGGAGCTCCGAGCTTTCCAACCCATCTACAAGGCTACGAGTTCACCGCTTCCACTTTTCATACGTCTCAGCTCTTTTATCCTTTCCTGCTTGTCAGCTGCTTTTCCGTACTGAGCTACCCCCTGTGTTTAATGGCCATGCACTCAAGAACCTCACCCCACTACGCATGGTTTCCAGAAAACCTCTAAGGGTGATTCATAGAAACCACTAGACACACGAGGGAGGCAATTTCTTGTTTATGGCAAACATGTAGTAAAGGCAAGGCCTGCACACCACAAGCTTTACTAGTACTTGCGCTGCTAGAACTATAACCCAAAGATACCAACCCCTCACCAGAAGCCTTACTAGTTTTTGCCCTCCTGTAAACAATCTCCATAACCACCAGAAATTATTCCAGGGGTGGTTCAGTTCTGGTAGGGGTCTAGAAAAATATCACCTCCCCTGTTTGCCTCTATACCTAACCCTGCCTGGCACTATGCCTCACCAAAAACCCATCACAAAACCCTTAAACCTCAAGCTTCCCCAACCCATACCAGAAGACATAATTACTAGTAATTTTCATTCTGCTCCCTATTTCCCGCGCAAGATAAAACTATTCCAGGGTGGTTCTGTTCTGGTGCCTGGCATAATATCACCTGCCCTGGCCCTGTCTGTTGCTGGAAAGAAGAAACAAACCCAAAACATCCAACCTGACCAAGCTTTCCAACCCTAGTTACTAGTATTTGTGTTCCTAGGCTCCTAAGACTAACCCAAAATACCAACCGGGGAGCTCCGAGCTTTCCAACCCATCTACAAGGCTACGAGTTCACCGCTTCCACTTTTCATACGTCTCAGCTCTTTTATCTTTCCCTGCTTGTCAGCTGCTTTTCCGTACTGGGCTACCCCTGTTTTAATGGCCATGCACTCAAGAAACTCACCCCACTACACATGGTTGCCAGAAAACCTCTAAGGGTGATTCATAGAAACCAATAGACACACGAGGGAGGCAATTTCTGTTTTATGGCAAACATGTAGTAAAGGCAAGGCGTGCGCACCACAAGCTTTACTAGTACTTGCGCTGCTAGAACCAACCAACCCAGACGCCTTACTAGATTTTGCCGTCCTGTAAACAATCTCCATAGCCACCAGAAACTATTCCAGGGGTGGTTCAGTTCTGGTAGGGGCCTAGAATAATATCACCTCCCCTGTTTGCCTCTATACCTAACCCTGCCTGCCACTATGCCTCACCCAAAACCCATCACAAAATCCTTAAACCTCAAGCTTTCCCAACCCCTTGATGAGGGAACCCCTTGATTGTAAGTTTTTGAACTTGAGCCAGCTGCCATGGTGAGATATGGTGAGCGTGCAAACCAATTCCGACCAAATATTACTCCAGGGTACCGTCCACATTCGGACCTTATTATTCCACGGTACCATCGACCCACACCAACATCAACATGGTGGTTTGAATATTCCTAAAAAGTTATTCTGACAAACTATTCCTGGAGGTGACCCTACCCTGGAATCATTTACGACGGGAGGGCCCATTGTTTTTCATTGCCTTTCAGCATGGATCGTTTCCTCAACTTGGACGGTCTTGAGCTGCAAAGGCAGCAAGTTGAAGCATGATAGCGGAGGAATCACACGTTTGAGATGGGCAGTAACATGTTTCTGTTTTGCAACCTATATACTTTGGCCAAGGAGCAGCGGCAACACTCAAAGGAATATATTGGACATGATTTGACGATGTGGTCAAGTGCGCCATGACGTCTTCCACTTTGGCCAACGCAATGCCTGGGCGCACTTTGTTTGAAAGTCAACTGCCCCTCACTGTCAGATTCTTATGGGGTAGCGCCTTGGGGTATCGAACTGATATCATGGCCGCAAATATCCTGCAGCGTCATTGATGAATTACATGTTTTTGCCGTGTTAAAAGGGATCCACGCATTCTGTTTCTGCACAGCAGCCTGCTAAAAACGGTTTGAGTTCGCATACTGTACAATCCGACAGGTTCACCTGCTTCACTGCATCACGGATATCCATTTCCCAATTCTCATACGTTTGATATCGCAATTGGTTCAACTTTTGGGGAACTTGGCCGCCCACCATCGCAAAAACTATATGGACAACTCCTGGATAACTTTTACACATCCTCGCCGAAGCAAACGGTGTCATCATAAACGTCAGTTTGTCCAGACAAAAAACATCATCCCATCAGCCAAGAAACTGAGAAAATTACTTTGTTCTGTGTTGGTGCTGCTCTTCGTAAATAGCGTGAGGTCTCTCTTGATTGCCCAAAGGTCGGCATGGCGGCTGTTGAGTTCTTTCTTCAAGATCGTTTCGTCAATGAGGTCTTGCACCTGCACTGCTACAATCAGCGTCCAATGACTAGAATAATGGTGGCACCCTATAATCATTACGGTACCCCAAAAAGTGATCATTGGCTACTAAGAAAGAAACTCAATGATTAAGCAACCCATGGTTTATGAATAGGGTATTGGTATGAGTACGCATGTTAATACACACTTGCCGAGGCTTTGAAGGAACAAAACGTACTTGCCAAAACCAATCCCTTCTTCTCAAATCAACTGTTTCCACCTCTTTCCAGGAATTTCGCCATCTGACAGAAATCGACTTGAATACTGGGGCTGTATGGTGATACATGGCAAAAACTTACTGCAAAACAGCGCGACCTCGTCAAAAACACTTTTACGTGTAAAGCTTGAGCCTATACATAGGCGGCTGTCAGGTCTGGGTATGTCTTTACACCCTGCCTTTCAAAGGCATGCTCATTGAGCTGACCTTTGAACTTCTTCGGCGTTCACCATATAGGTGCGCTTACTCAGCTCTCAGGTTCAGGCTCTTCCATTGCTTCTTCCACTCGGCCAGCCCTGCTTTCTTCTGCTCTTGGTGACATCTCTTCATCGCTCTCATCTTCTCGGTGAAATCTGGTCTCTTCACTTGTATCTGGTGGCAACGGTGGCCCATAATGAGTCGCCGCCCAACCATCTGGGTATTCAGTTCCCCCAGCGGGATGTCCATCGATTCATCTCCCCCGTGGAAGATACATTGTCCCAGGCATCTCAGGTGATCTATCACCCTTTTTCTTCTTTCTGGACCACGACCCCCCACCATGATGATCCTCTGGAGATTCTTGAAGGTTCTCAGGCCTTCAGGCAAGTCTTCATCTCCAGGATCCTCTTCGATCATGTCTTTGAACTCTCTGATCTTCATGATCAGATACACCTCGATGCGTCTGTCGATCTCATTCATCTCCATTCTGTACCTTTGGTACTTTTCCCCTTCAAGTCTGATGTACTCATCTTCGCTGTCTGCCTCCAAGTGTTCAGCAAGGCTTCCACAGTCGGAGACGTGTCTTCTTCCATCCTCACCATTCTCACACGCACTTCAGTTTCATGGATGTATCCATCATCATCTGTATACCTGCTTCTTCTTACTTCTCCACTTGCTCTTCTGCCTCCTCTTCGATCTCTTCGCCCCATGGTGGGCCAACCACATCCCTGAAGCTTAGGCCGGAGTCTCCAGCCCAGTTGACCCACTGGCGACGTTCGGTCTCATCCTCTGTTTCATCATTCTCATGTCTTGTTTGATGGCCCGATGGCCAATTTGACCAATTCTGCCACTCTGTTGCTCCTTCTTGCCACCTCCTGGGAGTACTCCACACAGTACTCCACATTCTCAAGTCAATCCTCTCTTGGTCTTCGTCTGACGTGTAGTTCTCCTCTTCACCAACCACATTGCGAAGTGTGTCCCAAGAGTTCACATGTCCTCTCAACTCCCTTGAAGTATTCTTCAATGCTCTTAGTAAGATCAGGACACGCTCAGGATCACAATAGTAATCGTGAGTCCCATCACCACTTAGATGGGCCTGGTCGTTACTAGTGTGTTATGAGGGTTACAGGCATTAGCTATTACATTCTAACAGTGTCACAACATCTTAATAATAGCTCACAACAAGTTATAATGTCTGTAATGCAATGTAAGAGTTATGAACATTAGCTAAGGTGTTAAGCTAATGACCATATTGTCCTTTGGTTTTTCTGTCAAAAACTGTTTATTGTCCTCAATTGCTCTTGTAAGCTCAAGTTTGCATTGCTCTTGGAAGCTCATTCTTCATTCCTCTTGCAAGCTCATTCTCCTTTGCTCTTGTAAGCTCATTATAGGTCTGTTGCTCTTGCAAGCTCAACCTCCTGTGTGAACACAAAACCTTGCACCCAATGCCAGGATCTTGCTTGCGCAGCCCATTTCTAGATCTGGTAGTGAACAAGTTCTTGCAAACGTGCCTCCTAAAGTGGTCATGGAGCGCTCCTTGAAGATGAGGTTTGGTGATGGCAAGTTGCGCGCCATCCCCCAGGGGTTGGTGGAGAACCACTATGGCAGGGAGTGGCTGAAGCTTCAGTGGACTTCACAAGCTCTTTTGACCTTGCTGATCGCTATAGCATTCCCAAGAATGCAAGCTTGGCATCAAGCGCAAAGGTGCAAGAGCTGAAGGAGTTGAGAAAGAAGGCTTTGGATGAGGCGCCTGCAGATGCTCAAGAGATCTTTGAGGCGGAGAAGGGCCAGCCAAGGAGACAGAAGAGGAGCAGTCCACAGGTGGTGACTGTACAAGTCAATGGAACACCAGTGGACATCTACTGCCCTTTGAAGAGGTTGGCAGCAGCAGACTTGGTGGTGGCCCTGGAACCTACTCAGTTGGCTGCTGTCTTTGAGTTCTTGCAAGAAGATTGCAGTATGCTCGAGACAGCCTGCAAGAAGAGAAAGTACAGGAGGGCAAGCCCAAAGAAGCAGCCCATTGGTGATGAGCAGCAGACCAGTGGTGATGAGCAGCAGCCCAGTGGTGATGAGAAGAGTGATGCTGAGTGATTTGGGAGTGTGGAGGAAAAAGTGCGCCTGTTCATGTTTGCAATTGCCCTTGCAGGCTCATTTCTTTGGCCACCTGCGCTGGCTCATGTTTGTGTCACGCATGGCTTTGGACATTGCAAGCTCATTGCCCTTGCCCCTGCAGGCATGGCCCTTGCAGGCACATAGTTTTTGCCTTTGCAGGCTCATTACTTTTGCCCTTGTAGGCTCATTACTTTTGCATTTGTAGGCTCATTACTTTTGCATTTGTAGGCTCATTACTTTTGCCCTTGTAGGCTCACTACTTTTGCCCTTGCAGGCTCATTGCTTTTGCTCTTGCTAGCTCATTACTTTTGCCCTTGCAGGCTCATTGCCTTCGCAGGCTCCTTTCATTAGCCAAGTCCAGGCTTCTTATTAACAGTTGTTGGAAGGGTTGAGTATGCATGTTCAACCAACAGCGTTCCCAATAATGCAAGTTTGGCTTCAAGCCCTTTGGCATCAAGCCCAAAGGTGCAATAGCTGAAGGACATGAGAAAGAAGGCATTGAATGTGGCTACATCTACATGCACATGCACACAACACAAACACAGCCAACAGCAAGAAAGCATGTGCACTGCTACGTTGTTTTGACACTCGGACTGCAGCCATGGAGCCTTCAATGAAGGCACAGCTGGAGGAGCTCAAGGATGCTGACATGAGTGTGGGCAGGAAGCTCCAGCAAATGATGGCCATTTTGGCTAAGGATGGAAGGATCTACAAGCAAAAGGTGACTTGTGACCAAGTGTTGGTTCACCCATGCAATAGGTCGGGCTCCATGGTGAATGCACATGATGCTCATTTCAAAGGACAAAGAGTCCTGTCCATCGGATGTGATGCAAGCAAGCTGGCAAGCGCAATCGCCTTTGAAGTTTCATCATGCCCAGACACCAAGAGGAAACAGTATACTGCCGACGCTGACCTGGTGGCATCATCCAGCAAGAAGCTTGCCCCTGTCACAGAGACTGAGAGATATCTGAGTGTCTCTTGTAGCCACTGGACTGCATTTGCAAAAGCTGTGAAATGTGGCGCTTGTCTTACAGAAGATGATGAACCCCTCACTTTGGACAGCATCATGGCCAAAAATGGAGATGAGGTTTTCAATGGCCTGCTACAGCATGGTTGGGACTGGCAAATAGTGACTGCCAGCACTGAGGAAGCACTTCCTTGGTTGCCTGGCTTTATGCAAGGGTGTTTGAACACAGCTCAGCAAGTTGGAAGCCTGCCTACAGAAGTTGAACAGGCCCTGAGCTTGGCCTGGTGGTATGACAAGAGTGGGAGCATTGAGCAGGCCATCTTGCAAACCCAAGCTTCTATGCCTTCAGCTGCCTACTTGGAAGTGATTGGTGAATGGGTTAGCAACTATGGAGGTGGGGGCGAATTCCCTTTCGTCCGATATGTAGAGAGCTTTGCCAAGCAAACTGGCCAGGGGCTGATGTTGGGGGAAGACTGTGTATCCCAAGTGGCGCACACTATCTACAAATTTGAAAAGACAACATTTCCAATGATGAGGACATCTTTCTTGATCACCCAGTTGTCTGCACCAAAACAGTGCCAAAAAGATGGCTTTGGTAGACTCCTGGGACCTGGAGAAGCTCAAGGGGCCTTCACACATGGAAGCAATGTACGAGGCAGAGAGCATACTTGCAGCAGCTTTCAAAATGCTGGAAAAGGGCACAAGTCTTGGCTTTGATAGGAAGGCATTGTTGCTGGGCAGGATGATGTGCAGAGTGACCCTGCTTCTGACCAAGAAGCAGGGCAAAGGAAGGGAAGCTCATGAGTGGGCAGACCTTGCTGACATCAATGAAGCTTTGATGGCTGAGTGCTTGGGGAAGCACACTGCTGCTTCAGGAAGCAAGAGTGAGCCTG